GATAGTTTCTACTTCACATCTTATATGGGCTATGAGTTTACTGGGTGGCCTAGGGCCACTTTCTTTTACCTTCATATTCTCTACTTCCTCCTATTAATGCCTTGGTGGCCTACTTTGAGTAATTCAGCATTTCTGAAATGTGAGTTACTGGAATCTCTTACAATATAGTGATAAATATGAACTATTATTAATAAGATAAAGATAAGGTAAACTCTCCCTCAAGTAGAACTCAGTCCTCAGTGATTTTACAGAAAGGCGCATATTTTCTTTACAAGGGAACAGAATGTTTATTTTGCAACACATTTAGCTTGCTGCCCTAGAATTTCCTAGTGGTTTCCAGTCTGAATGATAGTCAGATCTGATCCTCCTTACCTTTTGTGAGATCAGCCAAGGCCTTCCACCTGCCAAGGAACAATTATTATTATTTTTTTAGATATTAGCTCTCAAATATAATTTGACAGCAATTCCTTGAAATTGCTCTATTCTTTTATACCTCAGGTGACTCAGGGTAATATGAAGCTGAGCACCCAGCAAGAGTTCAACAAAGTTTAGCACCTGGTTTCTGAAGAAGAACAGTGGACCCTCCATTTGCTGGATCTGCAAGAAGCATTGACATCTACTCACACAACAGAAGTGCTTACTGAAATTGATGCCTGCATAGAAAAATTGATGACTAAGATAGCAAGGCTCACAAGACAGCTGAACACCTTTAATGAGCTAATTCTGCTCAAGCCTGAGGTAAATAAATAACCAAAAAAAAAAAAAAATCATGCAAAGCGGTTAAAAGCAGATGGCTATAAAACTTTTTGATGAATGCTGAAGTTTAGCCTCTTTATTGCTTGTCAGCATTTAAAAGTGGCCACAAATCCATTAAACACCAAAAAAAAAAAAATCATGCAAAGCAGTTAACAGCAGATGGCTATAAAACTTTATGATGAATGCTGAAGTTTAACCAAAAAAAAAAAAATCATGCAAAGCAGTTAACAGCAGATGGCTATAAAACTTTATGATGAATGCTGAAGTTTAGCCTCTTTATTGCTTGTCAGCATTTAAAAGTGGCCACAAATCCATTAAACTTCCAAGGGGATATGTGGAGTTTTAAGTCATAACCCATTATGAATTGTATGTGGTTATGCTGATATCCAGTAGATTTAGGTGGTTAGAAAGGGCACAGAGCCAGCTGCTTCCATTCTGGCTTAACAAGAGATTGTAATGCTTTATGGTAACTCTGGACTTACGAAGAAAATATGACATTCTTGTACCCTGCAAATAAGGACCTTTTAAGAGTAATACCTGTTTTTAAAAAGGCCATTAAAGATGTAGCTTGCTCCTTTGCTCTAGAATGAGTCTATGTCAACCTCCCCAGTTTAGGTGACATCCATATATGTGAACTTCAAGTCTCAGAATTCTCCAGCCAGCATGGCACTTTCTGAGAATTTGGAAGTTGCTGTCTTGCAGAGATGTCCAAGTTGAGGAAAGCTGATCTTGGTTGTTGTTACTTCTGGATTGCTACAAATTTTATCCTCTTTAGAACTGCCATAGGGAAGACAGAAGGAATACATAGGCATGACTTGAAAATTCCAGGGAATACAACTGGAACTGAAATTGTAAGATTGCATTTACTATAGAGGCAACTAGAGTTTACATGGTATTTAAAGATAAAAAGAAGACAATGTCTGCAAAAGCATAAGAAGTAGAAATGATATTTTACTGGGCTCATATTCCCCATAAAACAAATGTTGTTCTAAGAATCCTTCATCCTATGCCATTTCAAAAAGGAGTCTTTAATAGGCAATAGGGCCTCATGGATAGGAGTATATGTTCTTCCCAGAATGGCATCAGGAAATTAAAGGGGATAATTTCTTTCTGTAGAACACTTGTCTATAAAACATTGCTTTAGAATTATACAGTTGATCAATTTATGTGATCAAAGTTAAAAAGTCCAGCTCTTTGATTTTCTAGGTTACTTTCAAAATACGTTTGATAGCATTCATGCATTTATGAAGTACTTGGTATAGTACAGAAAGAGGTAGGGCAATCAGTGCACAGTTGGCTATGGTGGAGCTGAATGTAAAACCTCTATTGGATGAGAACAGAGTCCAAAAAATTCTGCCTCTGATGTCCAGCCTGATACTCCTGGCAAGCATACAGGTAGGATATGAAAGCAAGACCGTTACCAAAGGTTTGGTCCATAGTATGAAATGTCATGGCTAGGAGCAGTTAATGGACCAGCTGTCAGTATCTGAGCTATTTATCCCTTTTCATCTCTGAGCTGCTGGCCATCACCTTGTCAAAAGATAAAACAACAAAGCCCAGCCATGATTATATCCTTTTCTTTTATCTATCCTATGCTGATTCATCATTTAAATCAGGTTTTGAGACAGGTAAAAACATTATGTATTTCCTTCATATCAATGATCTTGTCAGTCTTCACTGTGTTCCCTGTTTCCTTTCCTTTCTCCTAAGTGAAAATGTTTGAATATTTTGTAGAAGTTTTTTTTTCCAGACAGTTAATTGTAATACTTCCCCTTTTCCACGCTTTCTAGCTCTGTTTTGAGATGAGGCGATCAGAATTATATATGGCATTCACAGCATGGTTCCACAATTGATTTAAACAGACTTACTGTCTTACTTTCCTTCCTTGCCCAGTAATGCTGTTAACAGAATTTCCTTTTTTCACTGTCTCCCCACACACAGTGGGCACTTTAAGCTATGTCTTCTTTTCTGAATAGTCTTGATCGAACGGAATATGTAAAGTAAGGATTTCATTCCCCTTTATTCTCTTTGCATTTACACTGATTCTCATTTAATATGGTATGGAATACCCTTTTTTTTTCTAAATAACCATGAAGTTTTGAAAATGAGTAGGCGTATGCGGATCAGATAGAATGCTTCCTTGGTATTTAGTTTTCTACCTACAGTTTGCACAAAATATTTAATTTGACAGTATTGTACTCAAAGTGCCTGAGGGATTTAACAAAACATGCATGTTATGTTATATCCTGGGGACTGCTATCAAGTTGAGGACAGGTTCCATGTATTTTAAAGAACTGGTGTTTATCCTGTCTAGAAGATGTTTTCTTGTTATTGCTGATTTGTATAACAGTCTCTCTTTAAGTAGACAAGTTTGCATATAACTTTAACCTTTTTTTTGCCTCGCTGATGTCTCTGGGTATTGCAAGGATATCTCAGGTTTCCAGTTAAAATAAACAAATATATTCCCAGTGCAGCGCTACTTTGGGTTGATATTTTTACCCCGTTGATTTAGTGGATGAACTTGTTCTTCGGTTTTGTAATTAACTGGACTTAGCCTTTTTTATATGTATATGACTCCCCCAAATAACTTCCCTGGTTTTTATTATAATAGCCTATACAGCAATACATGTATCCTACTGATTCTCACAATTCAACTAGTTTTTTTAAAATAATCTTCTACATTTATAACCCCATTCTGTGCCAAGCCATGTAATCTCTCACCTTGGTAGCTCTTAGTATTAGTGTCTAGGTATTTATACATAGCACTGGGTATACTTTTCATTTCTTCCCAGGTGTCAGTAGCATATACATATGGCATATGTAGAGTTTCTCCAATGATTCCCTTTAATTAGCTTTAATCTAGTTTTCATTGCACAGTTTAATTGCAAAGTTATAAGTTGCTTATACATTGCTTTAATGTGCATGATGTTCTACAGAGGAACAACAGAGAGCAAGTCTATGGATTTAATTGCTTGCACCTCAGTTGTTGCCTTTAGTCTGGTATGCTCTTAATGTCTATACTATAACTCCCATCATGTACAACCACTGACCATGTTGGATGGGATTAATAAGAATTACAGTCAAACACCCTGGGAGAGGCAGCATGGTAAAGTGATTAAGATTCTGGTCTAGTAACAGGAAAATCTAGGTTCTATTCTTCCCTAAGGATACCAGCTGGATGACCTTGGGCCAGCCATTTTCTCTCAGCTTTGCAACAAGCCAGCTGAAAAACAAAACCTCTTATTGCAATATGCATTCATAGGTAAGAATGAGTGGGCTCTGCAACCAAGTGGAACAAATGCTAAGAACAACAACAACAACTGATGAAAACCCCTGGAAGTTCAGTCTGTCTCTCCCTTTGTTGAAGGTCTGGTTGGTTTACAGAATTATCTTTTGAGAATCAATAGACTGACATAAGGTGCTGTCCAGCTTATGCTGCCTTTCCCCTACTTCATTGTTTCTCTACTTTGGCAACTTTAAGATGTGTGGACTTCAATTCCCAGAATTCCTCAGCCAGCATGCTGGGTGGGGAATACTGGGAATTGAAGTCCACACATCTAAAAGTTGCCAAAGTAGAGAAACACTCTACTTTGGCAACTTTAAGATGTGTGGACTTCAATTCCCGGAATTCCCCACCCAGCATGCTGGCTGAGGAATTCTGGGAATTGAAGTCCACACATCTAAAAGTTGCCAAAGTAGAGAAACACTGCCCTAGATAAAAAAAAAAAAAAAAAAAAACTGCATTTTTTTGCAATGTGAATGTTTTATAAGTTGCTTTCTTCTCTGCCCCCTCTCAGGTTTTGCAGAAGAGGCAAAGGGCTTATCCCCCATGAAGTGATCACTATTCTTTGTATAGATGACAATAAAAAGACTACATTGATTCTTCCTTGTCTCACATTTTGATGTTATCAAAATATGGGACCAGCCCAGGCTTTTCTACCTGTTAGTAATGTGTCCAATTTCAGTCCCTTTTCCCCACAAAAATTAACAACTCTTAGGTATAGTTTAGACTACTGAATGATGATGTTGTGGTAGACATGGCTATCTTACTTCCAGGTAAAATTGCTAATGATTACTAATCAATTTATTTAAATTAACTCCAGCCAGTGACAGCAAAGATGGAACCGTATCTGTTGTTTTATTGGGTAATACATTTCCAAGATGCCATAGCTCCAAAGATGTAGAAGAAGCTAATGCTGTGAACACTTTAAATAAGGTCTAAAAATGTCCTGTTATGTTTCCAGGTTGAGGCAAAACTATGGAACACAGAACACTTTGATGCCAGCTCCAGACAGACAGCCCTACCAAGCTCAGAATGTTTTGATATCAGTTTGCCTGTTTGGGAGACTGGGCTACTGCCGGATTCATAGGAATGTGCTTGTGCTGTTGTATGGTTCATTTCTTCTGCTTTACATTCTTAATGTGGTGTTAATTTACCAACTCTTGACTGCACCTTTCTTGATACAGAGGCCTGCCTATACATAATTCTTCCTGTAGTTAACTCCTTTGCTTTCCACAATGCTTACCTGCCGTTTTCCTGATATATTTATTTTAAGATGTTATACAAAGTGACATAATTTGCTCTCTTATTGCTATCTACAGAATAATATTAGGTAAAGGTACCCATTATGCTAGCTACAAAGAATAAAAAAAAAATTCTTGCTCTGAGAATCTTTTGTATTACTTTTTGTTTCATTTCGATATCTGCCTTGTATGCCTTCAGTAAAGATAAGATGAAAGCTTGACAAAACATAGTTGCTTTTTGGAACTTGTACCAATGATATAAAAAATAGAATAAAACAGTCTTGCATTGAAATCATAACTATTTTGCTTGTTTGTTCAAATCAAATTCTTTACTACAGTTCAGCGACCCAGTGAACAGGCTTGTTAGTTTCCAGCACAGGTTGAGTCTTTTTGATTTTAGTTTTGGAAACTGACTGTTTAGGAGGCTTTGTTATGTGGATGGTCACAAAAAATCTCTCCATAGTCCTTTGGTATCCTTGATCCACTTTCTGTTGTGTGACTTCTTTCCTTGTTTAGAAGGAACATGGTCATTTGTCACTAATGTTTTCTTCTTAGTTCCTTTCATTTAAATGTTAAATATACGTTTCCTGCTTGTTCTGACCAATATCCTGACACCATTATCTCCCACACTAATAAAGCCATGTGGATCAATAGTGTTCAAACAAAGATAGGGCCCCAATCTGAAAATATATTGACCATGTAGTGCCTACACTAACACATTGAACCAAGCTATTCTGTTCAGAGAATTATAAATATAGAAGACTTAAAAAAAAAAGATTAATCTTAGAGATTAAGAGCATAATATCGGGGAGATAATATTTATTCTTGCGTTCTTACTAGTTTCTAGAGGCAAACAGCAATGTTGTTGCTTTGATACCTGGCTAGAAAGGTTTCCTGAGTCACTGAGCTAAATAACTTACTCAAACGTCCAATACTGGAAACAGAGAACTGCAGTGGGTGGAGAGAAATGACTTGTGCAGTGCCACATATTGAATATAGTTCTTCTGATCTGCATTTGCGGTTGCAACATGTGAGCTATTTTACTGAAAGCAAATCAGTTAATTTCCCATAGAGATCCAGGACTAATTAATTATCACCAATTAATTGCCTGTCCAATTCTTGCTAAATCCTTACTCTTACGATTTACAATTTAATTAATTATCCACATTCTTTCCCTTGTTAATGTTGTTCTTTTGCTGTCCCCCAAATCTAAAAAGGAGAAAAACAGTCAATTTTTCTGCCCCAGAGTATGCTTGTATTATGGAATAGAAAATCTCATTCTCACTTTTCCTACCCATATTATGGCAATTACTGAGAGCATAGTCTAGATCAAAAGTAGATTTCAGAGGGCAGACTATTCCTGGAGGGTTATTTTTTTTAACTATAGCTCCCATAATCACCTCTCCATGGATGTGCTGGCTGAGGTTTGTGGGACTTGATCCAAAACATCAGGAGGGCAGCAGTAAATGGGGTCATTTACTGATGAAGAAATAGTGTACTGTAAGTGCTATATGATAGAAGTGAGCAATCTAAAGCTATGAAAACTTTGAATATTCTGTATATCAGTTCATAGCAACATAGGAACTTTGCTGGATCAGATCAATCCTCTCTAGTTAAGGTTTCATTATTTTTTTT